ATTAGTTAACTTTCAGCCACACCAGCCTCTTATTTCAGAATGTTCACTTTGTCTGGTTTTGTTGCAGTCTGCCCCATGTGATATAAATGAGAAGCTGGTGTGGCTGTAAGTTAATATTAACTAATTTGGCTAATAACATTTTGATTACCACAGCAATAATATAATATACAGTTAATCCTATATTAATATATTAATTTTGTCATTTGTATGGGAATTTTAATTTATTATTCAAAGAAATTTTCAGCTATTTACTTGAACATAGAGTGTTTAAGTGCTTATGGCAATTTTATATCAAGTATATGTGATAGAATAAACGAATTCATGTTTTGTGGGGTTGGGCCAGCATTAGAAAAACTTGGCAGATAATTTATACTGATCATTTGCCAAGTAAAAAAAAAGTGTGCAGTCGGATTCATGCCGGGAATGCAGAATTATATATATAATATAGTTCTATCTTCCATTTGGAGCAATCTGTTAAATTTGAAATGTTTCTTAGTGTTACACACATTGTATCATGCTGTTTACCTTGGTGAAAAATCACATGTGAGTTACTAGTACTGAATACTCAAAAGACAAAGCCCAAAAGCAAAGCCTCATTGCTCTGAAGTGCAATAAATGGTTTGTTAATTTTCACTGATAAGCATGCAGATGATTCTGTTCTAATGTACATTTTCACTCCACAAATTTCTTACTGAGAAAATCTTTCAATGCTATTGGAACCCTTAAGACTTCTCGAACCAACTTTCCTTCATAACGATTAACATTCAGATCAAGATCTTGCATCAAAGAGATCTGATTCGTAGCTTCATTCTGAGAATCAGAAATACTGATAGTAATCCAAAAATGATAATCAATACATATTAATATAACTTTACTTACATGAAAAACACCCATGAGAAATAGTATTTGTTTATACTTTGCTCTAGCATCAAAAGAGAAGGGAAACAATGCAGAAAATAACTCCGATGAAAGAAAAGATCCATCGTTCAACATATTTAGGAAATAAAACGTAATTCGATATTCTAATAACCAAGTACAACGTAGGATTAGTAAATTGAATCATTATTTACAATAAATAAAAAGTACATACTAATAACTTGAAAACTGAACACTTTGATTCGTGTTGCGACTTCAACGGATAGATCAAGATGATCGAGTAAGATGGCGATCAGATTCAGGATGTCCGTATGCAGTGATTTTTTCGTATCGTCCGATAATAATGAAGGTGGACCCGAGACTTCCATGTGAAAGACTTATTTATCGTCCAATAACCGGACTCCTTTCAGAATTGGTGTAAGCAACAAATGCTTATTTGTGATTTCACCATTAGATTTCTTAATTAATCCACCTCTCATAATGCCGGAGTTGCTGGCCGATTTTGTTAGTTTTCCTGCGGGAGGATGTGACTCTATCCAATCGAAGCTTATTTTTCCGAACGTTGTTTCATAAAACTTAAAGAGAGAAGAAATGGTTTGTACTATATACTTCCGCTTGCTAATTTGTCTTGAAATATTGGGGAGAATATCGACCAAATTATAGCTAGAATTAAGAAGAAATTGTCATACAAAAAAAAAACAATGACAAAATAAAACTCACAAATCAATCAGAATTTTTTCACAGTACAAACGGAAGTAATTTCCTTCGTCTCCGCTTATTTTTTCCATTACAGCAATCTTAAATTCTTCTCCTTCTTTCTGCAAAATTGACAGCAAAAGACATAAACATCTGTTGGCTTCCAACATGTTTCAGTAACTAATACCCGCAAATACTCACCTTAAGAGCATTGTCAAGATAGGACTCCAGAGATTTTGTCCACACAGCTGGAACATTGCTTACAACTTGATTATACTTTAGCAAATTTTCCATGGCATCAAGATAACTACTATACAGTAGAAGTATCAAATTAACTTGCTCAAATCAGCTGCCCATTGTGAATATATGAACTCACCAAACAACCTCCTCACCATGCATATTTTGCTTATTTGGAGTACAAAGAAGTGTCTCCTTATTTGGAGGAAATCTGGAATCAAGACATTCAAATGGTCGTTTACTCATGTCGAGCCAATACTCGGGGGAGAGCGGAACGAATATTGACCTTGGGATTTAGTCTTTTTCCAACGAGGTCCTTG